AACTCACAGGAGACCTCTCACAGGAAACTCCACAGGTCAGAACAGAATAGAGTGATGTATTCCAGATTCTAAAAGCAAAAAATTGTTGGCCCAGGATAATGTACCTAGCAAAGCTTTCCTTTGTCTTTGAAAATGAAATAAAATTCTTCCACAGTCAAGAAAAGTTAAAAAACAGTATTCCTCTTCCAAACCTGCACTACAAATGATACTTAAACATGATCTCTTGACAGAGAAAAGGAATAGCGTGCACCAAAACTAAAGGCAAATGCGAAGACCATCCCAGTAAAATACCAACAGAAGACTAAATCAATGAACAACCCATTGCTAAAATGACAGAACCAAATTACCACCTATTTGTATTAACTCTGGATGTAAACAGCTTAAACGCATCAATCACATGTCATAGATTAGTAGACTGGATTAAAAAACAAAACCCATTTAATTTTTGTCTACAGGAGACACATTTCACCAACAAAGATCAGCGGAAACTACGTATCATGGATTTTAATTTTTTTTGTTAGTTTCATCTCTTCAAAACACTTTCTTCTGATTAAGTTCTTCAATGACTCATAGATCATATAATAGCATCATTTTTTTCAAGAAGGTTCCTGATTTTCTTTTTCATTTCTTCAGCAACACATTAGCCATTCAGTAGCATCTTATTTAGCTTCATGGTGTTGTTAATTTCTTTTTTTCCTTCCTGTTGTTGATTATGTTTTATGGCTTTTCATTTAAGGGGATGTATAGTATCTGTGTTATAGAAACTATCATATCTAGTAACATGTTATTTAACTTCATGACATTGTAAATTTCTATTTTTCTTCCTGTTGTTGATTTTATATTGTGGATTTTCATTTAAGGGGATATATAGTAACTGCGTAATGGTGACTATCATATTCAGATGTGAGGATACAATGCAGTATGCATCTCTACTTCTAGACAAAGATGCACTCCCAATGAAACTGTTTACTATATCTTGACAATAGGATGCTGGACTCTCTGTCATTGTCCATGCCCGCAATGATGGACATATGATTGTGTATGAAGAACTATACTATAGTAATGATATGGGGAATTCAGTGAGGGGGGAGGAATTTAGGGAGGGGATAAGGGAAATCCCATAATCTATGAAACTGTATTATAAAATGATAAAAATAAAAAGAAGTAAAATTTAAAAAAAATCAGGTATCAGGGAGTACATAAGTATAAAAAACCTAAATAGCCACTACAAAGGACCTCAGAACCAATCTATTCTGAATGAAGCTGGAACGTTCTCTGACCCTTCCTGAAGGAATCTTCAGCTAGCAGCCACATTCCTAGCACTAACATCCCATGACTTGTATGCCTCAGGGGCAAGAGGCACAAGAGAAACTCCACCGGTGACTTGGAAAAGAGATTGAAGCCAAAAGCTGCTTTCATGGTTGAGAGTGGATACAGCACATCAGACATAGTGGCAATCCACACACTGTGTCACGGATCTGCCTGCTCATTTTCTGGGTGAGAGAGCACCCAGCCCAAAACTCCTCCAGCACCTACTGAAAATCCTCCTCTGGCTTCTCTGAATCCTAGACCAGGAAAGCATGTAGCCTCATGTAAAGGGCGCCAACTTCTTCAGCTCTGATATCCACAAGATTGAGGTGGTAGGCAAGATACAGTTGTAAGTTTCTGTTGTGGTTTTGTGAATTCCATTTTGCCATTGCTTTGTCTGTTTCACACTCCACTTTCCCTCCCAGGTGCAGGCCTGGTTGATTTCAGTTTGTGTTGATTTCCAACACCAGGAGCAAAGTCAATAGAGTTGCATGAGTGCCTGCAATTGTGTGTGTGGCCATTATAATCACTTCGGGCATTCTGATTTTCTTAAAAAAAAAAAAAGGAAAAGAAAAAGAGAGAGAGAAGGAAGGAAGGGAGCGGAAGGGAGGAAGGGAGGAAAGATGGAAGGAAGGAAAGAAGGAAGGAAGGAAGGAAGGATGGAAGAAAGGTAGGTAGGTAGGTAGGAAGGAAGGTAGGTAGGAAGGAAGAATGGATGGAAGAAAAATACCCATTCCAGATTTTCAAATGAGAGGGAAAACTAATCCGTGGAGCCCTAACTTGGATGCAAGAATCCTACGCTAAAAAGAGATGAACAACCTTCCAACAGCAGCGAAATGCAGCTGACTTAGAATCTTAAGTCTGTCCGCTTGAGGACCTTTAGCTCAGGGAGGCAATCTTGGGGTAGGAAGCTCTAGCAGATAACAGGTATCTAAAGGTCTTAGACTGTCAAACAAGCCATCTAAAAGGTCGATGCTTCCAAGATTTGGAGTCAGATTCACTTTTTTTTGGGGGGGGGGCGGGGGAAGTAGCCAACATCATAGCTGAGACAGGATGCATGTAATCTAAGTCTGCATGATGAGGCAAGAATGGAAAACGACACAAAATAAGAAAGAGGGTATCAGCAACGTGGGGACTGATGGTCCCAGTGGGGTTGGGGGTTGGGACAGAGCTGAGGAATGGAGAGTGAGTCTGCGCGTCCATGTGTGACGTGCTCACTGAGGCAGATGAGAAGGCTCTGCACGGACGGCCCTGCTCCTGCCTGGGATCACGAGCATGAGAACATCTGCCACGTACTCCATCCATTACTGTACATGATATCTCACCTCGTTGTCTAGGCTGCCACAAGAGAATCGCAACAGCTTAATCTGCCAATTTAACACATGCTGAAGCTGAGGTTGACAGCTAAGTGACTTGCCCAATATCACTTAGAAAAGGTGTAAGAGAGAAATTCAAATCCAGATCTCCTTGATCCGACTTCCATTACACCTTTAAAGATTCAAAATTTCTAGGCTTAGACAAAAAGAAAACCATTTACTGCTCTGCTAAGTATTTGTAGAAGTAAATTCCTCAGCACCAACTAAGCCTATAGTTGACTATAACCTCACATAAAGCCACTTTTCAACATTCAATCCTTTTCAGTTGAGAGGCAGTAAATATTTATTGCTTTAAACCTCCAAACACTTGCTAATTTGTACTTGCCAATGGTAACTAGGATGTTGCTTGAGATTAAACCATGTGAATGAATTGGCTGTAGGTGACAGGAGAAAGGATTTATGGGAATTCTCCTTCTGACTCTCGAAAGAAACAGTGATGGAGAAGCAGGTTGTACACAGATACGTTCTTACCTCCTACTTCAAAGCTAACATCCTTGTGGGCCTGGTGCCGTGGCCTAGTGGCTAAAGTTCTCACCTTGAATGCACGCCCGGGATCCCATATAGGTGCCCGTTCTAATCCTGGCAGTCCCACTTCCCATCCAGCTCCCTGCTTGTGGCCTGGGAAAGCAGTCGAGGACAGTTCAAAGCCTTGGGACCCTGCACCCACGTGGGAGACCCAGAAGAGTTCCTGGCTCCTGGCTTCAGATCAGCACAACACAGACTGTTGTAATCATTTGGGGAGTGAATCATCAGACAGAAGATATTTCTCTCTCTTACTCCTCCTTTCTCTCTCTCTCTCTCTCTCTCTCTCTCTATATATATATATATATATATATATATATATATACACACACACACATATACATCTGACTTTGCAATACAAATAAATAAATCTTTCAAAAAAATGCTAACATCGTTGAACGGGAAGTTCTTTGTGTGAGGTGAAGGGAATGGTATAATTGCTTCTTGTGCTTAGAGGTGATAAATGTCTCTCAGAATGCCTGTCACAGGTTCCCAGAGCTCACTCTCCTTTTTTTTTTTTAAAGATTTTATTTATTTTTATTAGAAAGGCAGATTTGCAGAGAGGAGAGGTGGAAAGGAAACTCTTCCATCCAGTGATTCACTCCCCAAGCAGCCACCACGGTAGAAGCTGAGCCGATCCGAAGCCAGGAGCCAAGAGCTTCTTTGGGGTCTCCCATGGGGGTTGCAGAGTACCAAGGCTTTGGGCTGTCCTCAACTGCTTTCCCAGGCCACAAGCAGGGAGCTGGATGGGAAGCAGGGCCACCAGGATTAGAACCGGCACCCATATGGGCTCCTAGCATGTGCAAGGTGAGGACTTTAACCGCTAGGCTGGGCCCCCAGATCTCTTATGGTATAGGGATAAGGGAGAAGTTCCCACTATCTTCCAAGGGAAGAAGAGTGAGTCACTGAGAGTCCCTGCTCAACAGCACAGGTCATATTAATAGCCATGAGACTAAGTGATCAAAACCTGAGTCAAATGGGAGACACCACCATCTGTTAGGAATATTTGGCCCTGCAAGAGCTGAGGGACAGCCAACTCAGAGGGAATGACATCTGAGCCTCATGGACGCACAAAGAGAACATAACACAATTGCTCTATATACATACCCTGGCATCAAACATCAGCAAAACACCTAAAAAGGAGAAAATTTCACAGCATATTCCCCAGGAACCTGCAGGAATTCAGGAGTCCCCATTCTGGTCCCTGTGTTCAAAGATGTACATGTCTCCAAGACCTAACTTGGAGAGAACTGATGAGGGAAAAACAATAACAACAAACGATGCCAATCGAAAAGGAGAATGTTACTGAGAATACCACTTAAGGTATGTCATTGGATTAGATTCATTTTTTTCCAGTGGGAGGTAGGGATGGGGCTTAAGAGGAAACCCAGAGAGCTATCTAAATCAGTGAAGTGACAATATCTTGGTATATCTAAATCTAGTGCAAAGATATACTCAGATGTGACCCCAATGCCAAGGATTTAAAATATGCCATAAAGATTTATGAGCTTTTGCTATATCTAGAACATAAGAGCTAGTGAGGACACTGTTGAATGCCTGGAGTTCTACTCTGTTTGTGCTTTATCTGCTGACAACCAGTCTTCTTTCCTCAGCCTATGACTCACCAAACTCCAACAGTTGGTATTAGACAGATGGCACTGCCATTGTCAAAAATACCATTTGGGAACCACAGCCCTCTATGCATTTTAAAGGACTATTATCAAGCCACTGGGCCTGTCTATGTAGCTCAGAAAAATGGCATGTGGATAGAAGAATGTAGCACATATGTTTTGTGGGTCAGAAGCTAACCTTTGTTTTATTAAAAGGTGTCCAGGAAATTGGAACAGATCAGGGCCAGATTGTACTTTGGCAATGTACAGAAAAAGCATGTCTCAAGTTCAAACTCTGCTATGCAAAGCTGCACTGCAGGCAGCTCCTTGAACTTGGTCTCGTTGGAACCTCAAAAGAGGCCCTGTGAAGCCAAGATCTCCTCAGGTCAGCTCTCCACCAACCAAAGCTGACCAGGACATTCACATGACAGAAAGGAGGGAAGACCACCAGGCCAACTGAATGTGGAGGTTTTCTCTTTTCTGTTCTCATGTCCTTCTTCGAACAAGCCCAGTCCTTGCAAGCCTTGATATCTGCAAATGATTGTCCAAACATTCATAAAGGTTGTGGGCTCTAGAAACTCAACTCTACTCTTCTTCCACTGAGCGGGGTCCCTTGACTCGAAAGTCCTGGCTAAGCCAAGATCACAGGCAAAATTACACTTCAGATCCCCATGTGCTGTGCAGCATACACACACGCACACAGAGATGGGTACATGGAAAAGCTTCTCCATGGGCCAGCAGACAGCTCATTTCATGTTTCTTTCTATCCAGTCTTTAAAAGGAAGAACTTTGGTGAAGGCTGTGGAGAGGCTGTGACTGCATGTTTTGTCATAACTCCAGCTGACCAGTCCCACCAGATGCCAGCGTGGCTCAGGGGATGCTCTGCCTGGGAAGGACATGGCTCCAATGCCTCCTGTCTCTGTGGTGCAGATGTCAGAAGGGGCACCAGGGTCCCGGCTTGCACAGAACATGGTGTCAGTGACACTCACTGGGATTCCATGATCTTCATGCTGTTCCTCACACAACAGTGAATCTATCACCTTCATCACCCCTGAGTGGAGCGTGTCATTCTTAAAGCCAGGGCTCCTGACATCTGCCAGGATGTTCCAGCCAGCCACGGTGATCTGTGATTCCTGAAAGGCTGTGCTGAGGTCTCGGGGGGCTGCAAGGCATATGGGCTGGACGCGGGTGCTGATGCGAGCCTTGTCCAGGAGCTTCAGGATGGCAATGTCAGCATCAAGCAGGATGGGGTCATAGTTGGGATGCAGAATGATAGCAGAAATCTACAAATGCAAAGAACAGATACAGGTAATGAATGGCCAACTCACAGTAAACCAGAACCAGCAAGACAGGAGAAAATGTCTAACAGACAGCTACAACAATTTGGTGATGCTTTACTCAAGGAATCATACAGAACAACTGTTCTGTTTCCAAGACTGCAAACCAATACATTTACCATTGCCTGACAGGTGGTAGATAGTATGTGGATGATGGAATGCCTGTCTAAAGTGGTTAATCTTTCTAGCCAACAATTTCTATGCTGAAATCAGGCCAGTTTGCTAATTTTGCTGAGCATGATGCCAGATTTTTAAATTGTTGGCAAAAAATTATTTAGAAAATATACCCAAATGCCAGAATCAGTGTCATGGCATAGTAGTTTGTTTTTCTTTTTTAATTGATTACATTGATTTATGTTACGCAGTTTATTGAGCACTGAGATTCCCCCACCACTCCTGAAACTCCCCCCATAGTTGATTCCTCCACCTTGTTGCATTACCACAGTTCAAATTCAGTTGAGATTCTTTCATTGTAAGCATATACCAAGCATAAAGTCCAGCATCTTATTGTCCAGATAAGTTCAACGATTTCTTGGGGAGATCATTTCTGGTCTGAAGGTAGAGCTGGCAGAGTATCATCCCAATCAATTAAAAGCCCCGACATTACATCAGTAACAATTTATAATGCTATGGAATTAGTTGACATGACATGGCATAGTAGTTTAATAAACTTCCACCTGCACCACCAGGACCCCATATGGGCACTGGTTTGTGTCCCATCTGTTCCACTTCTGATCTAGCTCCCTGCTTATGGCCTGGGAAAGCAACAGAGGATGGTTCAAGCTCTTGGGCCTTTGCACCCAGGTGGGAAACCTGGAAGAAACTCTTGGCTCCAGGCTTTGGGTTGGTTTAGCTCCAGCAGTTGGAGCCACTTAGGGAGTGAACCAGTGGACGGAAGATCTCTCTCACTCTTTATCTCTGTATATCTGACTTTCAAATAAAAATAAAATAAATCTTTAAAAAATATATACCCAAGTACTGTCAAAGATCATCTATAAGCCACCAGTTCTCAATCTCTGTCCCACTGTAAACATCTTATTTACCTTTAAAAAGTAAGATAGAGAGTTCATCCAGAATGTTTTGGAGGACTTTCCCAGAAAGTCTTCCCTGATTATCCATTCTTGCTGATTATTCCCTTTTAAGGGGACATCCTGGAGCTTACATCTGTGACATCTTGTAATTGTTTAAATGTATACAATATGTTTTATTACTTCAGATACATTTGGATGTATTTTCTCGGAGCTTCTGTTTTGTCACCCTAGTCATGAAAAACTGGTTCATTGCTCCATAAAGACTGGATTCTTCAGAGAAAGAAAGTTTCTTTTCTTTTCTGTTTATTTTTCCTTAAAGGACAGTTTGTAGGAGCTCAACAGCAGATGAGTGGATAGCTGGGTGGAGGGATGTCTGGATAGATAGGTAAGTGAATGGTAGATGGACGGATGGATGCATGCATACATGGATGAAGGGGTTGATGGATGGACGGATGGACAGATAGATTCATGGGTCAACGATTGAAAGAGAGGAGGGAAGGAAGTAAAGAAATGAATATACTGTATCAGTGAGCCATTAAGATGCAGCAGATTCAGTCACCACTTAGATGCCAACATCTAATATCAGAGTTCTGGGACTAGTCCCATCTCTATATTCAACCCAGCTTCCTGCTAAATGCACACTCATGAAAGTCAGGAAATGCTAGCTCAAGTATTTGGGTCCCTGTCACCCACGTGGGAGACCCAGATGGAGATCTGGCTTCTGACCTTTTCCTTGCCCAGCCCTGGCTGTTGTGAGCATTTGAGGAATGAGACAGTAAATAGAAGAGCCCTGTCTCTCTCCCCCTTCTTCCTTTCTTCACTCCTTCCCTTCCTCTCATGCTCTGCCTTTCAAATAAATAAACTTCTTGAAGAAAGAAGTATTTTTAAAGTTAAGTACTAGAATTATAGATGAAATCTCTGTATGTTCAAAAAGTCCACCTAGGGTAGGGCTCAAAGGTAGCAAGTGATTAAATTTAACACAAGAAACTTTGACTAGTAAGTCACTTGGAACTAGAAACTATGCTAGACTAAAACCGTACAGTGACAACACATAACATCTGTGGAGCAGATGCATTCAAACACATTCAATAAATAATTTCACAAATGTTGAATTTGTTATAATTTATAATATGTACTACTAGGAAGTACATGTATATTTTACTCTTTGATGATTAAGTGTTAGCCAACCACAATGACAGATGATAGTTATCTCTCTATCTTATTTTTAACGCTTTTAACAGGGCAGATGATGATTAGTCCTCCTAGATCCTGTCTTTAGATGTATCACAGATGTGAGCTCCTGGACGCCCTTTGCCAGAGTCCATCAATGTGCAGTACTGAGCACCTGGCCCAGGCCAGGCTCAGGAGCGGCTGCTGATAGGTGACAGGGATGAGAGAGCAAAGAGGCTGCTGTTCTGCTGTGCTTGCAGATGACTGAACCACAGCCCGCATTCCCAGCTTGCTTCCTTTCTCACCCGAAGGTTCTGGATGGTCTTTTCATCCCGATCATCATCCCGGTAGAATTTCCCCAAGACGACTTTGAGATCTGCTGTCTTGATGAGGGTGATCTTCCCCAGGTCAGTAACACAGTGGGCGGCAACTACCACAGTGCGCTCATTGACCAGGGCACCACTGCAGACCAGAAACCAGGCACCCTTGTGCAGGCCACCCTCCTGGCCTGCGCTGGTCCTCCTGTAGATGGCTGCCTGCCACGGCCAGCGTGTCCCTTGAGTCTTTGGAGAAGTAGCGTTCTCAATTTTCCCACAGACTGTGGAGAAAATACAAGCTAAATAAGATCAACTAAGACCTTCTCATGCAAATCAGACAGTGTCCTTTTACCAGGAAAGCAAACATTGGTGCTACATTGGGGTAGAATGGCCACTGAGCCATCTAACCTGCTTTCTTGTACTCCCTTAGATATGAATCAACTCTCTTAGCATGGTTGGCCATAAAATCTAGGGATTTTGCCATCAAGTTGCAGATTTCAGGCATTTACTATCAACATGATTTTGGATAAATCACCTAATCATTTTAAAGCCTCAGTGTTCTTGCCTGTGAAATTGATGGAATAATAACAATGGTCTCAATGAGATTTTGCGGAGATTAAACGAGATGACATATATGAGTGGATTAAAATGTATCATGACCATGACCACAGTGAACAGCAGTGCACTGTTCTTCCTTACACAAGAAGAGTAGGGACTGCAGCTTAGAGTATGCAAGGCCCTACTCCAGACACTTCCACAAGTAAACCGTGTCTTAGTAATCATCATAATCCTAAGGACTAATTAATGATAATTATGAAAATGTAATCAGATAATGTATGTGGAAATTGAGGCTTCGAATGGGTAAGTATAATGTAACAGGAGCTGCTGCGGTAACTTTAACTGTTCTTTAACTTGATGTTTAGTGACGTCTCTATTTTTTTTGCAAGTAAATATGATAGAATTATCCACACACAAGTATGAGGCTACTTCAAAAGTTCACAGAAATGCATATTATCATTTAATTTTCATCTTTTACTTCCATTTTCTCATGAACTGTAAGAAGTATTCATATATGTCTTTGAGGTATCATGAGTCAGTTTCTCCTAGGTTGTAAGTTTAAGTCAAATGAACCTCTAATCATGGTATTCAGACATATTAAGCTATGGAAAGCATTGAAAGACAGGAGCCTTTCCTAAGAAGTCTTCAGCGGGGTTAAGTATTGATCACAGATGGCTAGGAAGGTAGAAAAAGCTCCAGAATGCATTTGACTTACCTGGGATGCAGGACGGGGCCCGCCCACTCCACTTCCCAGTCCTCAAACATGTTCTGCGACTGCTCCCCAGGCGCCGGTAGAAGGGCGAGATGCACTCATACTGGAGCTGGGTGTGCAGATGTTGATACCCAGGAGGTAGGTCTCCAAAGGGAAGAGCTGGCTTCTTGGTTGGGGCATCCTGGAGTTTTTTCTTGCTGAGGGCTACAGAGTAGAGTTGATGCAATGGTGTTTCCCTGGTGAGCATACATATCCCAGAAAAAGAACAGGTCACTAGGTGATTATTGTGGCCCTTTAGCATTCACCCAAACCCCACAGAGATATCTGGTTACAGAAAAAAAAAAACACTGTATCTTATTCTCTCTCAAACACTTCACTTCTGCCACTGTGCAAATTCTCTTACACATCTCAATATTCATTTTATTTCTCCATTTTCAATCCTGGAATGATTACAACTGCCAAGGATTTTGACAATGGAGGATAATATCTAGCATAATAGCTGCTATGCAAAGGTACATTATCCATGCAGAAACACACACACACACTATAAAATTAAACAGAACAGAAAATGGAGTCCATTTGCCTAGAGAAATCCAGGCATATTTATATCCCTAAACATTATCATAATGAGGCAATATTAGAAATTGACTTGAACTAAACTGTGTTGATACAGTGGCTTGATTTAGCAATTAGTACGTGTAATTAGTTCACCTCGGAGAATAGAATTTTCTCTCAGGGAACACTGATTGGAAGAAATGGAGATGTTGTGTGTAAATGTGGAATGGGATATCAAACTAGCCCTGAACTTGAAGCCCCCAGATGCCATTCCAAGGATCTTGGGGTATATGTGTAAGCACCGTATGGCATGCATTTGCTGTAGACTGGGGCAGAATGACTGTCAACTGGAAAACTGAAATTCCAATCAGAATTGATGTTTCCATGTCTGTTCAGCAAATGGAGGAAGGAAACCCAGACAGGTAAAGGAAAGCGCACAAGGACACAAGGTAAAGGAAAGTGGTACCTAAGGCAGCATGCCATAATCACAATTTCCACCCTGGCGTCTCTGCCACATCCATATGTTAGCATCAAAGAAATCTCTGTCCAGTTTTGCCACAGTATTTGGCTCAAAACCAAGATTCCATTCAGCAAATATTAATCTCATGGCAAAAGCCAGTTCTGTATTTCAGGGAATTTCCAGACTTGCAAATCAGAAGTCTGCATTGCCTTCAGGAGCTCTTGGTTGATCACTGGTTGCCGAAAACAGAAACACATCCACCACCCCTGACTCCTGTCTTGCAGGAAGACATTTACAATCATGTCTTTTGCATCTGTGCTTATTGACACGAGACCCCTGTACCTCACCACCTAATCTTGCACAAAATTGCCACAAAATAGGAAGTCTGGAGGACTTTTGAATTAGCTCAGGGGATTCCCACTTAGGTGAATTTAGCTCAGGGAAATCACCAAGACAAGAAAAGAAGGCAGATGTGGATTCTTCCATATGTAAGGAAATGCCTCATCTATAAAGGGAAAGACAAAAGTGGGATGAAGTCAACAGAGTAAGACTGATATATCTGTCGATATTTTGACTTATCTGTGTTCCAGATCACCTGGTTGGGGTCAGTGCTGGTCACTGGAACTCACTGTTACCATAACTACCATGGACAAGTGATTATATATGTGCAAAGTGCTTTGCCAAGTCCTTTTCTTAAGGCATGAAATCTAATGCATACAGGAGCAGACCTTAAGGTCAGATACTAGATTTACTTTCTGGCTTTGCCAGTTCCTCTAGTAACGTGACCTTGCTCAAGTTACTTGACTTTTCTGAGCTTTGGTTTACAAATCAGTCTGCAATAAATCTGTAATAAAATCACCATCATAGTCATGTGATAAAATGGTAACAATAACTATCTTAGAGTTTACATTAAGAATAAATTAAATACACATATGTACTCTGAAGAGCATCCAGCACAATATTACTGACAATAGATGCTACTTACAAGAGTACTGGAAATTTTAAAACCCATATGTATGGCTTTTTTTCCATTATATACGTTTCTCATGAACTTTCAGAAAAGCTCTGATATGCATGGATTTCAAAATCTTTTTATACCCAAATAAACTTATGTTTAATTCATTTCCCCCCACAAAGTTTTTGAAGTACCCTCATATTAGCGTTGCATTTAATCCTAATAATCTTGGAGATATTAAGAATATTGCTGTTCTTTTTTTTTTCAAAAAATAAGAGAAAGGCTTGGCAAATTTAATAACCTGGCCCAAGAATATCAAGGACTGAAGACAGAACCAGGTCTTAAACCCTTATCTGTCAATCCAATTCAGTAATTCAAAGAATACTGGACCCAGCACAGTGGTCTTATAGCTAAAGTCTTTTCCTTGCATGTGCCAGGATCTCATATGGGTGCCAGTTCTAATCCCGGCAGCCCCGCTTCCCATCCAGCCCCCTGCCTGTGGCCTGGGAAAGCGGTAGAGGACTGCCACAAGCCTTGGGACCCTGTACCCATGTGAAAGACCCGGAAGAAGCTCCTGACTCCTGGCTTCAGATTAGCTCAGCTTTGGCCATTCTGGTCACTTGGAGAGTGACTCAATGGATGGAAGATCTTCCTCTCTGTCTCTTCTCCTCTCTATATATTGGACTTTGCAATAAGCATAAATAAATCTTTAAAAAAAAATACTGAGTGTCTGCTATGTGGTAGGCACCATTCTAGGCAATAAGACTTCAGCATGAGCAAAACAGATAAGTATCCTGCACTTACAACTCACATTTTGAAGAAATGGAGAGGATGGGAAATTAAACAATAAACCAAAATGTTGTATATAAGGAACAGGTGGAGAGCGAAGCAAAGAAAAAAACAGAAGCATGATGAAAGTCAGAGAACACTGGATAAAGGAGTCAGCTTGCTTGTCAAGGTGGAGGTGATTACTATTTTAAATAAGATGGGTCAGGAAACATCTCTGACAGGCAAACACTGGAGCAGAGAAATAAAAGAAGGGATGCTGTAGGCCTCACTGACTGCAGTAGAAGTTAGATAGACGTAACCACACATATATTTTCTGAAGTAGAATTGTGTGAGAGTGATGGGGGTCAAAGACCCCAGGGAACTGGAGTGGAGAGAGAGGAAAAGGTAGGAGAGATGAGTAGAAATGGTCCTGTCCTCGCCACACCTCTGTCTTTTCCAGGGAAAGGTTTGGAATTCACAAGGGCTCGCGTCCTTCATGGGAGGGTGGGTACTCATTCATCCCTGGTTACTGGCAGTTACCAGTCTGCCTCACATAGTCATTTACTGACAAAAATGTCTTCCTAAGCAAGGGCAGGACATATTTGTAGAAATATCCTCTGCCCAGAAACTTTCATATTAAATACATAAGAACTTCAGGAAGATAAGTATTAAAATCCAGTTCCTCACAGATCATCTGAACATCTTTCTCTCCTCTAGCCATCCACTTTCCCATCATCCAGTGGAATTTGCACATCTTTACTACCATTTGAATACAGGCAGCTTACTAGTCAGCACTTCGCACACCCTGTTCTCTCATAAAATTGTTAGTACTAAATGTCATTATGAGCCTCCAGATTGTAGTTGGCCAAACACAAGAGGGGAAAGGGAGTGGAAGAGAAACTCACTAGCCTTTCAATCAGGGTTCAGATGTATCAACCTCACCTTGATTGAACCTGCATTGGAAGAACTCTCCTTCTCACCAGATCGGAGATCTTTGGTTCTCGGCAGGCTAGGAAAAACACACAATGCTGTGTAATCTTTTACCATACTCAGTGTTCACATTATCCAGCGCAGATTCATACCTGACCCACCCTAAGTGGCTACCACTTCCCCTTTCCCCAGGCTGTTAGAGGTGGGACATGCCAGTCACCCCTGGACATCTTATTGAGTAAGAGAGCATGCTACCTTTCACATGCATGAACATTCCCTATTAAAAACCCAAGTAGGTAAGTGCCTCTGAGGAGCTGTAAAGCATAGGTGGTTTGGCACAAATGTTGTTAACAGATTGGATTACCGATTTCTGAAGATAGTTATTAGCAAGATTGAATTGAAACAGAATAAAAGCCAAAGTGAGTACTATTAAACACATCCCACAGAGGAAATTAGAAGGTTCTAATCTGAAATCACACAGCACTGTCAACCATAGATACTTTTGGGGGGACTGACTCTTCCCCATCCTTTCCCTGTAAATTAGAGTCCCTAACAATTACTCCAAGGCAACCCAAAGTCCAGTTCAATTTTTTTTGAAGTCTTTCTTTCTTTACAAGTGAAAAGGAAGCCTTTCCATCTCTTTCCCAATCAAGCAGCCAACACTTGTCTAATTAGCAACCTAGAGAACTTTGGTTGTATTAATTTGTAAGGGAAGAACTGAAAAAAAAAATCTGCAAGGACATATGTTACGCCATTCCCATACTTAATGAAATGAAAAACTAGACTCTGTACTAGTGAGGATGCAGATCGCTTCTGAGTGAAGTCTCAAGTGATTTATTCCTTTCACAAACCATTCTCTTTCATTGCTTTTCCCATGATTCAGTTTGTTGACAAACACCCAGAAGGGAAAGTAGAGGATTTAGGCAATTATTTGGATAATCTAGGACAAGAACATGCTTTTCTTTCCAGTAAACAGACAGATCATTGTGACTGCTCCCAGCCTCAAAATAGAGGAGTAGTTAACCTGAAGGAACTAGCGAGTCCATTTAATAGGAACTCTGCATTCCTACTGCCAATGTGGAAGGTTCATACTTCTTTGTACAACATTGAATTTCTCTGGTTCCAATTTAAAGCTTTAAATTTATTTCCCAGATTTCCACATGTCTTCCCCCAGATGATTTCCCTTCCGTCTGATTTTCGTCTTCTGTAGCACCCTCCCAGCTCCTTCTCATATCTGTAAGTCCATACCAGCTCACCAAGCTGGCCGCCATCCTACTGGCTTCAATATCCCTAATTTAGGAATGTTGATCTCTCCTTTTCTGAACTTATACTACTAATCTGTTCCTATAGTTATCCTTTGAACACTCAGAGAATTCGTGTCTTCCTCTATTTTGAAAACCTTAACATCTCAAACCAACCATCACATAGGCTGACTTGTCAATTCTTACATTTCTTGTACTACTTGATATTGCATAGTTACATAAATGTAACTGTATAACATGGTTTAGAAATCACCTCAATTCTGTCTCTGGAGTTACATGTATAAAGTCTTAGTACTGTCATCTTTCCTAAATCATTCTGGTGAACACATCATTCTTTCTGACAATCTCAAGATGCTGTGACTAGGGTGGACACTACTGTGGGAATTTTCCCGTCTCATCCTTGCCATTCCCTCCATACACCATGTTTCCAACCTAAGGGCTATTAAGTGTTCCAGGGAGAGCATAAGGGGAAAAATAATTCAGTCATTTCCAGGTACTTAAAAACATTCAGTGGATGCTTCCAAAAGTCCAGCAGCCCCATCTCTATCTACTAATTTCCGGAACATTGATAAGTTACCTTTTATGCAGGTGGGCTGTTTTCCTGACCACTCTCCATTCTCCTGGCAAGTCCTCTTCTCAATGCCACTAAGAACATATGAGTTGTTACAAAAGAAGGATACAGTGGTGCCAACCTTTGCATGGTGCCCAGTGGTAAGTCCAGGGCCTCCTGTTACTTTCTTGTACCCATTGACTAGCCCCCCAGGATCTGAGCAGTTTCTTTCTTCGACGGCTAAAAGTGAAAAGAAGAAAAGAACGGTTATAAGTCTGAGTCATCCAGTTTTAGAATAGAGTCTTTTCATATTTCAATGGATTAAAAATATGGTGCTAGCAGTGGTGCTGAAAAGAATTACCAAGAGAAATCTTTTAATAGAAAATGCATGTATAAGACATGTCTTTCCTTGTATTTTTAAATTGAGAACTATTTCATTCTATATATAATTAAATTTGACACCAAATCTGGCTGATCTTGTTCATTTTTCTTCTGCAAACTGTGAGACACAGGCAGGCCTGGACAAAATAATTCATCTAGGCTTTTCTGATACTACATCTGGGTTGTTGCTTTTCATTGCTATTGGTTTAGCTCCTTCATTTCCTAAATCATGGCAATGAGAGTGTTCTGTTTTCTATTTGTGTGGTGTCCAAAGCCAAGAACTGACTAAAATAAAGAGTGCATATATAGAATAAATTTACATCTTATATTTCATCTCCAGGAATGAAATACATTGTGTGTTGAGAGTCATAATTAAAAATTACTAGAGAACACTACCATTGCAGAGAGGCAACAAATTTCTCCTGATCACAAGATGTATATGTATTGAAAGATTTTTAAACATTGAATTTTTATTACTGAAACATTTCTATTCTTTCACTCCCACTAAACAACTAATTTAAAGTAGAAATGGCATCACCAGCTATTCTGAGGACTAAACAGGATTTTAAATATAGGCTGGGAATATTCCATCAGAAAGAAAAGACATTTTTCTCAGAGAGATTATGCAACTGTACTGACCATCACTTGCCCAGGGAAACAGTGAGGCAAAGAATTCAGCCTGTAATTACTGATCTTGGGTACCAAATGCTGTATCAGTCTCCCTGGTTCCTTCTTAATAGCTCCTTCTAAGACACAGGTTCATCCCTGTAAAACAGGCCCCATGCAATGCAATTACACCTTTGACAGGCTTTTCTTCCTACACCTGTCCCTGTTACCTTCCAAGCTAGTTATCAGCTTGTCTCCAGGCAAGCAGAAATTCTCCATTCAGGTAACATGTCTAAAATATTTGAGAATCAAGAGTAAATTAATAACTTTTGCATGTGGTTATTTGGCAAGACTGCTACAATAAGCCAAATTACTGGTTTGTGCATTCCCAGATTACCCATAGACCATAAGGAAGATGGTCTCAATGGCATTCTGTGTGCTCTTAGGTTATGTAATACAAGCCATTTTCACACTTTATAAATCTAAAATCCCTATTTTAAGAGTAAAAAGAGGACTTCATCAAGAAAGCTGCTTTTTTTTTTTAATTGAGATGTTGTGGGGAGGGAAACACATTTTTGTTTCTTCAAGTGAACTCAGAAAACCCTGGTGCTTATATTGTCAAGAATGGCTCTGCAACGTGGGAGGACGAGGCAGAGGAACCAGCCTGTGTAGCTTTTGTGATGGGACTCCCTTCCTTCAGCACAAACTCACACAATCAAGAACATGTAGCCCCAAAAGCACCCCTCAGGAGTCCTAGTTTGCAAACAGTTCAGAATCAAGGTGTGTTACACTTACAGTTTTTAAAGTATATTTACCTGAAAACATAAAAATTGGGAGATTCCACATAAAAGCCTGTGTTACTGGCTTCTACACAGTTTGCTGCTGGAAGCCCTGAGCCTGTGTTCTGACCTGACAAAAATTAGCTGGAGTTGAGAAATAGCTCTTTCCTGAGCTAAGGGCTCATACCCCTTGCTAGGTCATAGCCCTGCTGCATGGCTCTAACAGGTATTTGAAACTGTGGCCAGACACTCTGTCCAAGAGCTATTCATGTAATTTTAATGTTGTTCCTCATCCATTTTGAGATTTGCTAAAGCTCATAGCTAAGAAAGATTTGGTGACATTCAAGATCCGTCCTGGAATTCAGAGAGAAAAATGAACTCTACTGCAGCTGCATGAGCCAAGGCAGAAAATAAGGGTGTATTAGCAGAATGATGGGCTTTCTATGATGGGCTTTCATGCTTAGCCTGATCATTGGGTTTTTCTTCCCTTGGAAAGAAGTGATTCCCTGTTCTACCAGGCTAGTAGACTTCAAGACTGGCCACTGCAAGGGTCTCATAAGTTATATTTTTGCTATAGCTAACATGGATTTAACCAGCAGGAAATTTAGGTATACTTGAGTTCTTGGAGTTAAAGATTGATGGCAATTCAAATCCTCTCTTTCCTCACTAATGAGGCTTCAACAGATGATTTAAGACTGATTTAAATGTGCAAACACCTCTGAGCAAGGCTGAGGGATACTCTTACGGTTACATAATTCTGAGATGTGCAATCTGACATTTCTGATATCACATGTCCACTTTTATATACTATAACCTTGCTCTCAACTATCTATAATCAAATCAAGGAGGCTACCTATACTGGATGAGATCTTAGCGGGACAACGCTGAGCATTCTCATTTGATTTTGGGTTACTGCTCATGGAACATCATTAGGGTAGACCCGGGATCCAGTGGAAAGTGCATTCTACTAAGTGTTTGATTCCTCCCTGCCCAGATTCACACATTGAAACTGTAAGTCCCAATATCATGGCCCTAGGAGTGATTCCCTTGAGAAGTATTTGAGCCACAAGCGTGGTGTCCTCACGAACTGGATTAGTGCTCTTACCAAAGGGAGCCCAAAGAGTTCTCTCGCCCTCCTCCTACTGTGTAAGGATAGAGCAAACCAGAAAGCCATCTATGAACCAGGAAGTAGGCCCTCACCAGACAATGAATCTTCCGGGGTCTTGATCTTGGGCGCCTCAGCCTCCAGAACTGTGAGAAATAAATGTTGGTTGTTTTAAGTCACCCACTCTACAATATCCTGGTGTAGCAGCCCTAACTGACTCAAATATAAAGGAAGACTACATAGCTGAAAATCAACAAAAATAAAGGAAAACATGTCTTTAAAGAATCCTGACAATGTAATTATCTGTCACAACTCAAAATAACCATGTCAAATACACTCAAGGAAATGAAAGATTGAAAACTTAAAGAAAAAAAAAGGAAAAATCAAAACTGAAAAGTAAGTACAACATAAGAAAATAAAAACTCAGTGAATGAATTTAATAGAAAATCAGACAGCACCTGAACATTACCAAACTAAAAGAAGGCTTAAAATTAAACTTCAGAATGAAACATAAAACGGTGAAACCCGTAGAGAAAAATTTAAGAGGCATGACTTACAGAGTGAGAAAGTTAATAAAAATGCACATAATTGGGATTCCATATGGGTAGGAGAATGGAGAAGAAACAAAATGTATACAGATAATAGCTGATACTTTTCCTATACTGATAAAATACATACTGTATAAATTCAGAAAGCCCCAGGTCATGTAAGCATTAAGAAATCCACACAAAAATATGTTTTTAGATGTCCAAAGGGAAACTAGAATAGCCTACTTAAAATAATTACCATCATTACCTCTGCCTTGTAACATTAAGAATGATCACTGCTTTTTTATATTTTCTTGGAATTTTATAACCATCAAATGTAACCATAAACTTATTTGTTACTTTGTTGTTTCTGTTAGGATTTTTTAAGAATCAGTGAAATGACTGGGAAACCCCCAGGTTTCAGCAAATGAAACCTAAAATTTTCATGTTTTTTGTGTGCCTTCCTGTACAGTTTCAATCAATCACTTCAATATCTTGTGAAACCATAGAATAGTACAGCTTCTCATTATTTAAATAAATCTAATCATCAGCCTCTAGTAGAAGAAAAATGACCTTCAGAACCATGCAGATTTTAGTTCAAATGACTATTTGCTTCATCAGCATCCAGAGCAAACACGCAGTAGGTGCTCAATAAATATATATATATATATATTCTTAATTTGAAGATGTATTTGTTTATTTGAAAGGCAGCATTAGAGAGTGAGAGTCAGGAGAGAAGGAGGGAGAGAGAGGGAGAGAGAGGGAGATTTTCCATTTACTTGTTCACTCCTCAAATGACCACTTCACTCAGGGCTGGGTCAGTTGACAACCAGAAGTCAAGTGCTTCTTCTGGGTTTCCTACATGAGTGCAGGAATGCAAAGACTTGAGCTATCTTCCACTGCTTTGCTAGGCACATTGGCAGGGAGCTGGATTACAAGCGGAGCAGCCAGGACTCAAACCAGTGCCCAGATGGGATGGTAGTGCCACAAAAGGTGACTTCACCCTTTATCCCACAGCACTGGTCATTCAATAAAATATTTTTGGAGGGCAAAATGGATAAAAGTTTAGTTTTATTTACTTTTTGACTAAGTGAGTTAGACTGTAGGAAAATGACTTGATGAAATTGCTTCAGTCCTTGCTGTCTTCATTTGTAAATAGGAATAACATTTACCTAACTAGATTGGGCTTTAGGAGTAATTACAATAACATAGCATCCTTTTCTTTTGTTTGCCTTTGTTTACTGAATACTCAACTACTTTTAAACACCAATCCCCCAAATTTAATACACTTTAAAGAAAATTCCAGGAGAAATCTAAAGGCCCCTGGTATTTAGCCAAGAATAACACAATAGTCCATTCCACTTCCTGTGCTCGGTGTAATGCCTATCCATAATGGGCTTCCAGACCTGGATCCACTGTATTGATTTAGATTCCTGGGTACCAACCACGGTGTCTCTATATTCGTATCTTTTAATCCTGCGCAATAAAGCCTTAAAATTATATCCCTGTATCAAACAGCCAATAGGAATTATCCTCTCTTCTCTCACTTCTTTCCTGCACTTGATAAAGCTGCACATTCTCCTATGAGGCTTTTGAAGAAAATTCAAGGACTTTCTCCATCCATGCTTTTTATTCCCAGTTTAGACATCTACCTGGTGGGGACGTAGGCCATCTGTGTCTCATCAGAGCTCCTCCCTATTGTTAGATTTCAAAGTGATTGCTGTTCTCCCTATAACATTCTCCTTTTAGAATCCTTTATACCTTCTCTTGCCTCTCAATGAAAAGATTCATGTTTGATTTTCCAAGTGCTTTATATTTCATTTGTTCACCATGGGTGATAGATGTTTTCCTGCAAAGCCAAATGAAAGCTAAAACATCTATATCTCTCACATGAAGCAGCACTGGTTCTTGACTTGCTACGTACAGTATTTCATGATTAATAATTAATAGCATGCCTTCCTGTTACTTTGGGGACTCGGCCTTGAGACATTAAGTACAGTGAGTATATAATACTCTCACATGCTGTTGTGTGAACCAAAATAGAAACTGGAAGAGCATTTGTCTGTTACGTAAAAGAAAATTAAAACAAACAAACAAACAAACCTCTCTCCTTGTTTTCCTGTTTTCTCAGAGCAGCAAGATGATATGGTTCATTTTGATGACACTTTACCAAAGGACATGTGATAGTTCTTGCTGGAACCCCACTGGTGTCCCACTAAAGCTCCCATATCCTTCATTTCAGCAGGCCCTTTCGTGGCTCCTACATGTAGGCTTTACTGCTGGGAACTGACACCTGCAACTTTCAGAGCCCTGCATTGGTCATGGGCACAAGCTTGCTCAAGAGGAAAGCTGAAAAATTTCTAGGAATTTGTCTCTCCTTGATTACCCCCAGCCAAACCTATCTTAGATTGTCTGTAGCCAATGAATGAAGAGTGTATAAGTACAAAAGCCCAACTCTCATTTCTTGAGGTGTTACAAATTCACACTCTTTAAACCCTCATAGGCTAAGATTGAGCCTGTAAGTTCAGTCCAAAACACTCTTGCTAGTACATCCTGGGAGTATTTTCTTTATTAAATCACAGCCGCCCTCAGTGGCACTCCTAGAAGTGGTGGGACTTCAGAGTGACAGTATTCTTTGCTCTAGGAATCTAGCCCTGTTGTGTGATGATGCAATCTTTAAAATGATGAATGGCCAACAACAAAAAGCCAGATCATTCTTAAAGGCTCTCCAGTCCTACAAACTCTCTGACCTACACCAACCCTGCCACAGCTGAGCTGCTTTGTCTGAAGGGACCAGATGGTCTAAGACAAAAGGTTTTCTCAAGCTGACAGTGTGGACCCGAGTCCACCATCAGCAATTCGCTCTGCTGATTTGGAACAGTGTGCAATATAAGCAATGTTCCCAGAGGTTGCCCTGGCAATGACTTAAGTTGAATTTCTCACAAGACTGTATCACAGGTCTTCGAATGTGATTTAAGTTGACTAAAGCAAATAAAGTTACAACTTGTCCTCTCCTATCTGTCTAATTCACAGAGAATCAGACTCAACAAGCCTGCTGAAGTGACAAGATCCAGCACGACGTGAGAAGCAGGCAAGGTGAAGTTAGCACCAGGGAGTACTTATGGGCAACATGGAAGATAGTTTTTGGAAAACTAAACTTTAGTTCCCACTAATACCACTGCTTTTCTAGACCATCAAATCAACAACACTGCTTGTCACGAAACAAAGTCCACACTCTCCATCCCCAAGCTCGGGAGTAGACTCACCTTTTCATTCTCAGAGAATCACAAACTCAGGGCAGAGCTCAGGTGTGAAGAGAAAACAAACTCAACTCTAAAATTTCACTCTCCACCATGAAAACCACAACAATAACCTTGTTTGAGTGAGTTTGAAATTTTAACATGGAATTTTTTCCCTTTTGCTTAGATATCTAAGTTGAAAATTCAGATTTGGAAACAAGTGCTATAAAAAGTCCTTGAAAACCAAAGACTGCGAGTAGTACTCTGTCTTTCAGAAGTCCAGTATGTCACCCTGTAGAGAAATGTTGATGAAATGCTCTAAGTCATCGCTTCGATTAATTAATTTCCTGCACCATCACAAATTTAGTGAGTGCCTCCTCTATGCTCAGCTGAATAAGGCAAATGTTTTTCTGTAGCTTTAACATAGAGGTTTTTCACTTACATCCAAAAATAGAAGTGATGTCAGTTCAGGCCTATTTTTCAGTGGTTTTTCAGAAATCTCAAAGCTATCTCCAGCTTTACTTAATTACTTATTTTTTTTTCAAAAATGATTTGAGGCATTCCTTCCAATTACTTATTCCTCAGGTCAAATGCTAAACAAACAAATGTCTTTCGAAACCAAAAAAAAAAAAAAAGAAAAGAATGGGATGTTAAATAGTTCAACTGGTACTTCAAGCAATGCTACTACAGAAATCCAGTCATATTCCATGGACCTACTCTACTCATTCTGGCACAGAAATAGAGCAAAATGCATAAACTATGCTGCTTCTTCCCAAATGGCCAATACCTTTACCAGATTTGCTTCAAAATTGCATCAGGAGGTAAAATCCTACCTAAGGAATAAAATAAAGGTAATCATGGAGGCCTTAAATTAATTGCACTGGGACATGGAGAACTCAGCAGATACCAGCCAGCTGCAGAAGATTATGAGAATCTGCACTGCAAGATCCAATGGACTGAGTTTATACTATCCAACCTGCCCTGCTGTCTAAAAGAAAAACTTCATCTATAGGTAGGAAGGAAAGGAAAATGGAAGCTCCAATTTATGTGTGTCACTGGAGCTGAGTTGGAATCGGTCTTCTCAATTTCATCTATTTATGTTCTCACTGTGGCACTGGACAGAACTCTGAATACGGAGATCACTACTTCACCAGTGACACAGTTAATGCAGTATAGCTAGTGAGTCAGGAACATGATTCCAAAGCATGAAACCATCAAATGATGCCCAGAGATGCCTCTTTATGATGGAAGTAGCCATTTTCCAATCCCTGTCTGAAAAATGTTAGATAACAGAGTTTAAGCCAATCCTTTTTGAGAGTGCAAGTCCTTTGGACAAAATTACTGACTATATCCACACAAACACAGTGGTCTCCACTTGCT